GATTTATAAAAAAGTCTCAGTTCAGAATGGAAATTACATCACGGCACGACATCTGGAATCTTATCAGTTGGATAATTGTGACTTTAAACAATAAAAACAATACAAGATATAGCGCAAACAGTTTTCAGGTTTTTGGCATTGTCTTAAACTTAATTATCGTCTTTACGTTATTTGGTTAGGGAAGCCAGTGATGACGTCATTACAATGATGTGTTCTCAATGTTAAGACTGATTTGTTTAATCAATCGTTCATAAGTCTTATATGTATAAGTATTTACGGCACTTTGTGACCGTAGCATGAGTACCACAATTAACTTTATGTCACGTTTTTATCGCGTCAAACTGTCAAATTCCATAGTAATTTGACAATTAACCGTGATCAAAATGCATTATATTACATATCGCGGTGCTCATGCTAAATGGGCTGGTTTGGACTGACATACGCAACTATCATTCCATGAAGATATAATATCGACAATAAGTAAGTTGCTAATCATTTCTCACGTGTCTAAAAATAAACAGTACTCTCTCAGTTTGTTAAGCTAAGCAAATTTTTCCACCGTGTAAAGGACTTGTGTAGAGTATATACCAAATATTTATCACATTTCTTACATTGCATATTGTAAAAATTAAAGTATCTTTGATAGGAGAAATGATTACCCAGGCTAATATAAGTATGTCCCCGTTCTACTTTTACTGGAAACAAAAGCTATGAGGTAGCCCGTGTAATTAGCTGGGTCGACTTATTCTTCATTTTATATCGTAACTTTAATCGTTTTTTAGGCGTGAAAATGTAAAAGAGTTACTTACCTCATACGTAATATCAATCAGTACAGTAAGTACTGTCTCAGGTCAGAAGTTAAGTATTAGTCTTGCAGCTAGCTATTGATTGCATGAGCTGTGAGCAGGCAGGGTCATTACACCTCTTTAGACGCCGTGAAGACCTTGATCCAATCGTTATTACGTCTTATTAGTAGCACGATACGATAAGTACTCGAATCATTGTTCTTGCCATCGTGCCATTGGTGTATAGGTACTTTCTTACCATTTAGAGAAGTCAATTAACTGTTAAGTTTGACTAAAGGTGATGCTGTCACTTTTTTTGTGTTAACAGAAGAATTAGACATCAAAGCATTAAATTAATTTGACGTTTCTGAATTCTGAGGCCGAGGCATTAGATCAAAACAAAAAGGGAAGATACGGTAGGTACGCTCAATGCTCATACTAGCATCAAATAAAATATGCTCCGACTCAACTACATAAGCAACTCTCACGCACGCACACTTGTGTAAATAAGCATTCAATCAAACCATAACCCTAGCACGAATTATTATCGAATTCGAATAGTTTGCGAGTGCTAAATGTCAATGTCAAATTTTGTATGGAAACTGGAACAGCAGAGCCACATATTTCATAGCGAGAACTAAAAATTCAAACACATTTGAACATTTGACAGTGACATTTCGGACTCGAAAACTATTCGAATTCGATATTGGTTCGTGCTAGGGGTACTGTACGCTTCAACGCAGCGAGTCCGCGTCGCTTGGCTTGGCGACTGCGTTTTCTTTTCTCTCTCTACAAACGGCTGAGCTGTATTTTTGTCCTTTTCTTGATAACAAATATCGAAAAGAAAATAACATTCATGATAAACCATGATATTTGAAAAATGATTTCAAAGTTTTACGAATGAAAAGTGTTGCCGTGAAATTTGCTATTTGATCTTGAACTATCAGTGTTTTTTATGAAATCATCGAAGACATTGTTTTATCTTTAAAACATAGAATATACGCAATATTGTTATATTGACTGCACATGCAGCGTGTTTGAAATCCACTTTGGATTGTGGTCATGCACCACAATTTAAACAGATAATTTTTGACCCGCGAGTTCCGTATCTTCCCTTTTTGTTTTAATCTAAGGCCGAATCACGAACTTTGACAGCTCCGTTATCGTAGTGCATCGTCAAAGTTTATATGAAAACTAAGCAGCAAGACAAAAACAAACTGGCTTCTTCCATACAAAATTTGAAGATGACGTTACAATTACGGAATTTATTGTCAACGTTTGTGCTGGGCCCGTCTGTGGCTTGGGTTTCAGATGTTAGGTAAGTTTCCAATATTCTATTTCTTTGATCTTTATTTGGGAGACAAACAATGAAATAACACTTATTACTAGATGTATATAATTGATGAAACAATATATATCAGCAAAGTTTCCACCATAACATAATACAATTCTACTTTGAAGAAATAAATAAAAGCTTTATTATTATTACATACTCACGAATTAATAACGGACACAAAGGAGTTGAGAGTAATTTTATTAACTATAATGACGTCACAACAATATCAAACATATCCACAAGAAGAATATGTCATCCAAAATTTCAATTTGGGGCATGGTACCCAGAACACTGGCAGCATTACCTCGCTGAATAGCTAAACTGATTCTCTGCGCGAAATAGCTGCCAGCCCTCTGATCACCCGATAAGAGAATCAGTCGATGCGACATATCCTTCATAAAGCGCTTCATCTCAACCGACCACGACCCTAACGTCTTGAAAGCTAACGCCGCAAACTCATAATCTGAAAGAGTATTTACGAAGCTTGAGACACTGAGCACGCTCGGCTGCGGCCCCAACTTTAGTACAAGTTTCATGTATATAAGATGCAGCCAGCGTGTCTACGCAAGTTACATCCCACACCAGAGTGCTGCCCAGTCTCCACGGCACAAGCGTAGTACCGTCAGGTCACTTGCCATCATCTCTATATAGACCACATGGTTCTAATGTTGCCGGTATAGAAACCATGGCAAGAGCTGTACCAAATCATTAACTGTACCGTGCCGACATAAGCGACCAGCACTCCTGGAGCAGGACAAGCTATGTCGACCCAACTGATTCACAAACTGCACACATGAACACAAATGGGGTTCATATACTTTGGCACCAAGCCGGAGACTAACGGAAATTCTCAGCGTTGCAGGATCTAAAATTGTACTAAGATAATGTGAGGGAAGCGCGTACAACCATTGACGTGAGTGTTCGCTGCTGACTGCTAATAGTCTCGCTCTCTTTGTGTTGTCCATTACTTGGTCAAGGAGACAAGCGAACGTTAGTTTATGTCCAGGCATGTCTCAAATTTTTTGTTTTGTTTTGTCAGTTGTGATATTTTCCATCGGAAACACAGCCCTCCAAACATCCAAAGCCAAGCCAAGCCCGTCACTTGAACATCAGCTTGTTTTAAGTTTAAAATATTGCTGATGAGAGTAATCGTACTGTGAGTAGAAGCTAAGCAAGCCGGTAGAGCCACGCTTAAGGTGGTACGAATTCCCAACCTGCCTAATTTAACAGGAAGGCAGGCCTGTCTCCAAGTGGTGTCTTCATGCTTTAAATTTAGAATAGTTTAAAAAAAATCTATTTTAAATTATCATACTTACTAAAGACCTTTGTTTTTTTCATTGAAGTAAGCGAATTATGAAAAGTTCTAGTTAACTAATATGTTAGTAAGTATCTGTGGTTATTAGGAAACTAACGGCCATTAACATTCTACTACTTGCAGCATAAATAATATTTTTTACACAACTATTCAAAACCTTTCTCTCACTGAGAATAGACTGAAACCACGCACGCGCAAGCACGGTTTTTCTATCAAGTCCTCAATGCAAAAAACCCTTGTTTACTTGAAGTTATTGGGAAATATGAAATATAAATTATTAGTATTCTATCTAGAAATTTTATATAAATTTTTCAATACATTTGATTACAGGTTCAAGATTTTTTCTGTACAAAATAATAGTTTCGATCAACAGGACCCTTAAAATTTTCATTTTGTAACCATAGTGTTACTAAATGGAAAATTGTATAGCATGATATAAGTTCATAAATTCACGCTTAATCTTCAGTTAGGAACAAGGTGTATCAATCGTGCGTGACGTCGTTTCATAATAAAGTTTCCACATGTAGTAAACATATTTTGTTAGTAAATGGTCAAACTCTAAGTACTTTTCGTTACAAGTTAAGTTACATTTTTCTTTTAAAACGTCAGAAAAAAGGGGTACTATAAGTTTGGCGTATAGATCTGTGTGTCTGTCTGTCACATCTAGCTCCTCAGCAAATGGTCACATTTTATTTTATCCTTTTTTAGATTTTTTTGGGATACGGGGTTTTTTTTTATTTTCCCATTTGTAAACTAGTAATCTACACTTTTGGTTTTGGTAGACTTTAGGTCTCGGGTTTTTATATTTCCTATATATAAAATACAAATCATGACATAATCACCCCGCGACGAAAGCATTTAGGTAAAGATAAAAAAAATCTTCCGAAAAAAAAACTTACTGAAAACTGCTTCAAATTAATTCTGTGGTTTAGGAGTTAGTAGGTTATACGGACAGAAACGGAAACCACGACTCTGTATCGATGATTTTAGGATATTTTTTACAATGTTCTAGTCCTAAGTTAATTATGTATTTTTTTGTGTAGGTATTTTTATCACTGCATGATGATAAAAAAATAGATATTGCCTTTAAATGACTTTTAGTTTGGTTACAAAAAATATGAATGAAGGCTCATTGTTTTGACAGTCTAATTGATGTAAACATCCGATAACGTAATCACTCATATTCTTGTAGGTACAATAAATATTTGACGTAAACGTTAAGTACTTGTCGAAGCATTAACGTGTGTTTGTATGTCATGTTTCAGCGAAACACCAGAACTAAATACTGACACTTTCATTAACTATACCAATTCACGGAAACGAGCTAGTACAGACAAAAGCTTCTCTGTCATTGGCTGGATTGTGTTCTTGTCGTTATCCCGGCTAAGGACAGCCCATACCATCGCCATACGCACTATTCCATCGATAAGCGATTGTGTGATAAAGAAGGTGCTCCACTAACTCTTTTCCTTGAACAGAGTATAGAAAAAACCTCAATTTGATTATTATTCGGCCGCCGTTAGAGTGCAAGTGTATCACTAACGTTTGTTTATTTCTTTTACAGGCTAAATCCAAGATAAAGCTGATAAGGCGGGTGGACACTGACTGGCTGTACGGTAGTGTTCGCAGCGGTGCTGAAGGTATATTCCCCTCTAACTATGTGGACATTAAGGTGCCTCTTCCGAACGAAGCTGTGGCTGCTCCATCTGTACTCGGTGTCGCCAAAGCCTTGTACGATTTCGAACCAGCTCAAGCAGGCGACCTCAAGTTTCAAATCGGCGACACTATCACGGTCCTATACAAACTCAGTGATGAATGGTACTTCGGTCAGTGTAACGGTATCAAAGGACAATTCCCCGCCAATTACGTCCAAATGTGCTAACCGTAACTCTAGCCCCAATTTAAACTGATATTACTTGCCGTCTTGGGTATATATTAAACTATATATATGCTAAGTATGTGATATATCTACTGCACTCCAAGACTGATGTCCTATCGTAAATTGCTGCCGTACGATTTTTTAACGTACAAATTGATATGGCACGCAATTTTATAGCCAGTAGTGATTTAGCCAATAATCGGTTCAATTTATGATTCCAATTTAACATGATGAATAAATTTTACAACGATCTTTGTGTAGTTGATTTCATATTCTACAAATGGTACTTTTGAGGCCATGAAGACGTGTACAATTAGACAATTACTAATTTTGTATCATTCACCGTTGATGCCATAATAAAATAAGTAGTTAAACAGTGATAAGTTAGTCATTTTCGACGACGCCTCGGCAAACGTTATTTGTATATTCGAAATATTGCAATAATGCGACTGATTGTAAATATTAGTGCGGCCAAGAATATGCGACGCCTCTGCAGAGTATTAATATATAATTTAGTAGGTAATGGTTGTGTAATATTTTTTTGTATTGTAAAGTCTTTTTTTATTCGATCTGAAATTTAGTCTGTAGGGTTCAATTTGTTACTTATCTTTGAGATTGCTAGGACAAGTCAGTATAGCTTGTAAATATGAATTAAAAATGCAAAACTATAGTTGTACATACTAATTTTGTATTAATTTGTAATAATTTAACAATTCACCTGTCATATACCAATACCAAATCACGGATTAGTTTTATGATAACCATGTCATAAAATAATAATTATTTTTTTAGAGATACTAAAAAAAATTGCTTTAGTTGACCATTCTTATAATTATTTGACTCCTACTCAAACTGTCCAGATGCAGGCTTTCTGGTTTAATACGTACCTAATTTTTATATGCTTTGATAAATTTATACTGAAGATGTTAATTATTTTATTAATTCTGTTTGTGTCATTATAAATGTTAATTAATTGTTATTTTGAAGGGACCATAGTGTTTTAAGTGCCTTAAGTATTTCGTGTACAATACAATGAATTTATTTATCTAATTAAAATAATATCGAACTTATTTTGTATGTTTCAATCAATCCATCCTACTAATATTATAATTGTGAAAGTTTATATGTTTTTTACTCGAAACTACTGAGCGGCTTTGGATGAAATTTGGTAGTAAAAATGGCGCATATAGTTTATAACCTAGGAGTCATAGGCAGCGTTGCCAGACGTCCCGATTTTTAAATAAAAATTTAATGTCCTGCGCGGGACTGGCTCAATCCCGCTTTTCAGGAAAAACTCGACCGTGCGTGCAGCGCACTGAGAAAGCGCGGGCAAGTGACATAGACAAGTGTAGACTGACCGCCTATTTAAAGTTAGGGTAAATCTGATTTAAAATATCATATTTTTATTAAAATACATTTTCTATGGATATTGTTACTAGGTACCTATCTATTGCCACGTAAACGTAATTTGAAATCGAATAAAAAGATAAATATTCAAAAACATTTGATTATATACGTTTTCTCTACTATGTCCCGAATTTTTCACTCAAGAAGTTTCTAAATCCCGATTTGGAAAAAAAAATCTGGCAACGCTGGTCATAGGGTACTTTTTATCCCGAAAAATGTTAGGTTTCTGAGGGATTCTCAAAAAACTAGAGTTAACGCGGACGAAGTCGCGGGCAGCCGCAAGTAGACTACTTATAAAAATCTACTCGCAGATCTCGGTATACTTATGTATTGCTGATATTAATTTCTAATATAACTTGTTTTAATGACTGATGATAAAGTAGATTGTGAAATATAGTAGTTATCTGGAAAGTTTAGTAAGTTGGTAATTTTATAAATTTTGAGGCGCTCTTTCCGAATTTCGACTTTGCCACCTCGTATTTTTACGGCTCACGCCGCCATATTGGAAAAATCGCGCCTAAAAGTAGTTTTTTGACAATATCTCCTTTCCGACTCATTTTACGATAAAAACAGTTCTATACAAAATACCCACAATCATCCAGAGGCAAGGCCTTTGCCCCAGCAGTGGGGACATTAATAGGCTGATGATCTGAAAGCTTCGTTTCCTTAGATGATTCTCCCACTGCAGCGCGTTACGTCGCGTAGCGCTAGATTACTCGTCGGGAACCGTTGCCAGTAGAAGAATAAGCTTAAAGACGCGCGTGGGACTGCGGCGCTATACCCCGCCTGCGGAACGCCCCCCGCCTACGCGCTTATTAGCTGAATCTGCGACGAGCCACTGCATGCCGACCCTTGGTCAGGTAGTTCGCGAGATTTCTATACGAACTGAGATACTTGCATACAACGTTAAAATTCGCCTTCATCCGTGGGTCCGTGGGTGAACCGCGTTCATATAAAAAAGGAAACTCGATTAACTAAATAATCCACGCTTCTGAGCACCGAAGTTGTGCGGCTTCAAAAATTGTGCATCGCATCGACTAGATTTTGCGTCGCCGCTTAACAGACGCTCTCGCACCTGAGGCCCAATCATGAACTCTGACATCTCCGTAATCGTATCAAATTGGCTCCTTCTCTACAAAATTGAACGATACGATTACGGATCTGTCAAAGTTTGTACTTGGGCCTCTGATTGCCATGCCATAGATATTTCACATCGAAATGTCATGCAGAGCTTGCCCGACAAAAACTAAGTGAGTTCATTCATCCTCCTTCTCCATCCTTCATTCATTCCCATAATATAAACACTACGCTTTGAGTTCATTCTTGACTTTTCCACCGTTAACTTTTAAGTATCGCACAACTTTCCTAACTTTTTACAAATAGAATACTTTAAAAAGGAGATGTTGAAATCGGTAAAGTCATTCTCATGTAATGGCGTGACCATGGGTCAGTAAAGAGTGACATAACCCTTTTTTCTTTCCCTTCGGATATCATACCCGCTCCCGCAACTGAGAAAAAAAACCTGCATCTGTCAAATTTCGCCTGCCTACCTCTTACGGTTCATGGGTTACAATGATAGTGGCGACGGTGTGTGTGGGTGCGTTTGTTTTGGTAACCTATACATTCGTGTCTTAAAACTTCAATAAAACAAATTCTTACATCACACGAAGTGAATTTTATTATTTGAACAAAAATACTCTTATATGGTCTTATAATATTTACAATTCCTTATTTTACAACTTAATGTCAACATACCCTGTTCACTTTTCAACCGTTGCTTTTTGCTTTCAAAAGAACAGCAAATTTATACATGATAATGACGGCAAGACAACATTCCGAGTAATGCTAGTGGATATTCAAAAGATTAAATGGGTTTAACGGCGAACAATATATAAAAACGGTCACCATTTACAACATGTTGAAAAGGGAAAAGAGGGCGATTTCTTCTAATATAGAATACGTAGCATAACATACGTTTAGTAAAAACTAATGGTCTAATAACACAGTCCCGAACATTTCCCTAGCGCATTATAAACAAATACTTAGCATCTCGATATTATATTATATTCTCGCTATGGCTTTAACTTATATCTAAATTCAGCTGTAGAAACTATCATTGACATTCAGGTACAAAACATACATGAAAATAAAATTTCGATAAACGCATCACCATTCAATGTACAGTAACGATTGTAAGTGGTTAAACCTAGCCTTTATATCTCAGCAATAAAAGCAATATTCCTAGCGTAGGTGTATCCAACTTCTTGTTCGTGACTGTACAACGTATATATTTTCGTCAAATGTTTGAAACAGTCGTTTGTAATTAAATATAGGTAAAACACGAGCCATAAAATAGATTTACATATGGGTAAATATTGCACAGAAATTGTGAATACGATTTATTTGTCGTAAATTTATCAGTGTATCTAGTTGTGAAAATAATTATACAGATTTTTATATAAGTAGACTGATTAAAAAACAACCTTGGGTTCTTCTAGATCTTTGGGGATGCGGTGGCAAACTGGCAATCCTAAGGATACTGTGATTTCATGAAAACGAATATTCACATGCAGTTTGTCCGATATATTTTGAAGATTGAAGATCTATATTTAGAAAGTTAAGAAATGAATTTCCCACTGTACAGCCAATCGTCTAACATCAGACTAGTTTAGATAGAAGACAGAGCTGCAGTGCTAAATATTTCTTAGTAATTCATTTTATAAAATAACAATTACATTATCAGGTATGGATATTCGAGCTAGACTATTTACGAATGTAATTGTAGTTTTATTGCTTAAATTCGTTAAGTATAGACTTTTATGCATGTCGTCATCATTTTCCATAACAGAAATATAATACTAACGGTACCAATATACATAGATAAATCACTTGGATTTAATTTAATTTTAACGTTTTATGGAAGTCCACATAATCTTTCTCCATATAAAATACTATTAAATTCATCGAAACCAAATATCAGACAAAAACGATACCTGTTTCAGATAGCTCACACTTACAACAGGCAGGTACCCACTTTGTTTGGTTTTCGACATAGTATATAAATAGATAGATTGATAACATAAACTGTCAGATCGAAATGTATCTGAAGTAATGTTTACAGTCGAAAATATGATATTTAAAAATGTTTTTTAATAAACTGAATCACAGTTAATTAGAAAAGCTATAGAAGTCGCATTCACTCCGTACGTAAAAAAAAAAACATATTTTTTCATAATGACAGCCTCGTTTTTTTTTCAAAATAAATTTCTTTTACCTATCACTTATACCGATTCAACTTCGCTATACCAATTTAACTTCAACACCATTTACTAGATCATTTTTTGTCGATTACTTCTTTCATACTATAGACAAGTTAACATTTGCATTTTAAGCAAATAAAAGCTTCAAAAATTCTAAACATGAAGTCTATATATAGAAGCATTAACAAACACGTCAAAATCATTCACGTAACTATAGTAATTTTGTATTTACAAAATGGCATGTTGCTGCACTTATTATTTGCTTATAGAACATTGATTTTACAGAATATCTTGGTATTGTCATATTACAAATCATTAGTTATCATTAACAATAAGTTTGAAACAAGGAGAAGGTGTTTTGTGCTACATTTCAATAACAATGACATCTTTACCCTGCGTTAAATAGCGCTAAATCGGTAGTAGCCACATCAATTTACCAGAGATGCAATGTTAGTAAATTTTACATTTTTTATCTTATTATATTTACAGATCAATAATGTGCCTATACAGAGGACTTCGGTCTCTTTTGTATCTAATCTGGCCTGTATATGGGTATTTTGGGTATGAATTCTATAAGAAGTACATACTCCATCATGGAGGAGGAGTCGCAATGTTGCTTCGTGAGGCGCCAGCGAAGACCCAGTTTGTTGTAGAGGCGACTGTTCTCCCATTCTAATAATTTGTTTAAGGAGTGTTGAGTCTGAAATTCATAAAACACATTTTTTTATCAATCATCGAATAAATAATTTTATTAGGGCGCTTGACAAGACGATTTCTACCCGGTAACTAGGCACGGTTTTAAATCATGTCGTCAGTTAAGTGTGCGACACTATGGAGGTTTTAAACAACACCGGGCAAACCCAGCGACGGTTTGGGGTCGGTACAAACGTACAAACCGTGCTCAACAAGCTTAGCCGGCACTGGCCCGGGTAGAAACCATGTCTAACCCCGGTAGAAAACCGGTAGTTAACAAGCGCCCTTATGCTTGGTTTGCGCGAAATTTAAGAAACATTAATAGCGTTAATTTGATAAAAAGGATGATAAAGAACAGGTAAGGGCGTTGACGTTTTAGACTTTCAACTCCATCGAGGTGGTTAGTGGTCTCTTTTGCCCTGTGTACCCGAAATTAAACAGATTCTTGATTTTCTCGCTTTCTTTGTACATCTATATTAATATTATGAAGAGGAAATATTTGATTGTTTGTATTGAACAGGCTCCGCTACTGTACCGATTCGAAAAAAAAACTCATTTAGAATCCTTCATTATCCGTGATGAAAATAGGCTATAGAATATTTTCAAAAAGTTAAGGTAACAAAATAGCAAAAAATAACCTTATATCGCGTACGCTGCGGAAGTCATTGACAACAGAGCAAAGTGATATATAACTTAAATATTTACCTTATTCTATTTGTTTAGTATTTGTTGTTGTAGCGGCAACATAAATATAATGTTTATGAGATACAGCCTGGTGACAGACAGACAGTTAAGTCCTAGTAATAGGGTCCCGTTTTTACCATTTGGGTATAGAACCCTAAAACTGGTTTTAAAAAAAATGCTAATGAAGCAACCAATTTTTGAATCACCACCACTCGAGCACTTTCTAGCTAAATGTAATACAGAAAAATCTGCAATCCGATTACATCATACATGCCTTTAATAAACTCATATCACCTTATTCCAGAACACTCACTAAATTTAGCCTTGCTTTAAACTTAATGTCTCAAACAAAACTGACAGCATCAAATTTAGTCTGCGTTTTGTAATAAGCGGATAATGTATGTATGTTGTAGTGAGTTGCAGTTATACTAATTAAGTGAATATAAGATTAAGTTACCGTGCAACATTAAGTATAAAAACAATACACCTTACCCTTTTACTAAGACAAATAACTGGCCATAGAGAGCATCCTAGGGTGCAGCAGCAGCAAACACAGCCGCAGAATAGCCATTTGACATTAACAGGAAGTGTCTTCTTCAACACGCTGTTGATTCGAGCTACTGTCGCTTGATACTCCTCTGGGGCAACTCGTGACTGGAGTCCAGAAGGAAACTCTGTGTTGAAGCGGTTGCTCAAGCCAAAACTGAAAATATGAGAAGATATATTATAAAAAAATAAAATATTTTTCAATAATGTTTTTTGATTGGAATGATTTCTCAAAAAAAGCATACAGCTTTTTTAATAACAGTTAGTCTTTGGGCTTTTGCATAATCAAACGCGTATTCAATTTTCCTAAACTCTTTAAAAGTTACGTCATATCGTTTTGTACTTTTGTGGGAATTGTCTAAGCTAGTAATAGTGTACCACTTCATCGTGTGAATGAAACGGATAATATTTCATCTCAATAAGCCTAAACATCGTGAGAACTCGTGTCATTTCGCAGTAATCTCACCACCATTAAGTGCGTAAGTGCAAAAAGGACAGAAGCTTGCGATCCTGTAGTCGGTTGCAGCGTAACTTGTAAAAGCTAAGTACGAACTTCATTACAGTTAACAAGTACCGTACGCGGCGATAAGTACATATGAGCATAAAATGAAGTCCTTCTAATAAAGGTACTGGATCGCAACCTAATTTAGCTAAATTACGGGATGAAAGCACTATTAATTTATGCATGCATAAAAAGTGTCCGATTGCCAATGCGATTACCAAGAAATATTTCAAGAATTTCAGCATTAAAGTATGGCTTCTATAAATTCTACTCTGGAGATGCAAGGTCAAAGTATAAGAGGCACCCTGGATGCAATTAATCAAGAAATACATGACCTTAGTGAAAAATGTAATACAATAACGGCAGAACAGTTGTTAATTAAAAAAAACTGAGCGAGTTGTCATCGTCAAATGAAATAAATAATCACAAAGTGGATACACTCACAAATGATGTTATTGAATTGCGTTCTATTATCAATAATTTAACTGAACAGGTTCGTGTAAAATATCAGCAGGGACGCATGAATAATAATAATATTCTTTATTGTATAACACCACAATGGACATAACAGTAAGATTACACTGACAGAGAGATATTACACAATGGGCGGACAATAACTTAGAAATTTCTGGTATACCTATCGTAAAAGGTGAAAATTTGCTCAATATTTTACACATTATGTCTACAAAGATAAGTTTTTATCTGACCCCCTCTGACATTGATTATTTTCAACGAGTTCGGGCGCTTCAACTCAGGTACAACGAATGAATCATCCAATTCAGCAGACGTTTCGAATCGCGATAGCACTGCAATACCGAACGTTATTGTTAAATTCACACAGAGGAAGCGTAAAAGCGAAATGATAGCGGCGGTGCGCGAGCGGAAAGGTTTGACTACCTCCGAATTTGGGTTGGATGGACCAGCCAAACCTATATTTACTAACGATTATTTGACACCTTCGAACAAATTATTAAAAAAGCCAGCTAGACTTCTCGCAAAAGAAAAGGATTACAAATACATTTAGTTGTCTGTCTATTCGATAACGATAATTTATTTATATACTATCAAAACGTTCTAAGTCAATACACAGTAGTAATAGTTTTTCAACTCTTGATCTTAATTCGGTAAATATTAATCTTGATATTGTCTTATAAAAGTTGAAAAGTGTCAATGTGAACAAGTGGGCTGGTTTTGATAATGTTTATCCCATCTTGATAACATTTACAGATTACTTATTGCAAGCAATGGATGAAAATTCCCAGGTGGAAGTCCAAAGCTTTTGATATAATTAGTATGATAACTTATGAGGGCGGTAAACGGTATACACGGCAACCTGCTGAGATGGATCGAATCTTATATCAAAAATAGCTTTCAAGCGGTTTGTATCAAAGATTTATACATTTCCTTCCTGTGCCTTCAGGTGTACCGCAAGTTTCGCATTTAGGCCCTTTACTCTTTTCTTTATATATTAATGTCATGGGTCACGTTATCAAACATAGTCAGCGCATACTATATGCAGATGATGCAAAATTGTTTAAGGTAGTGAAATCTATGGACGATTGTAAGAAGCTATTTAAGAAGATTTGGCAGCTCTAAGTAATTACTGTTCATCCAATCAATTGTTTTTAAATACACAATTTCTTTCTTTCCTCACACTACCGAATTTTAAGCGCCTGATCGAAAGGGTGAGCGTGGGCTCTAGCTAGGGTGGTAGCAATTTTACACCGCGTCGATCGCCCTAGATCGGGTCTCTTACTTCCTAACTGCCATTACACCACCCTTAGTCAGGGTAAGGGTCGCTTAAAATTGGGTAGTGTAAATCTCGCATTACCCGAAAAAAGAAACAGTACAACTTTCAATACACATCACTAATTATTATTACATTATATTTCATTTGGAGGTAACAATATCAAGCGAGTCACTAATATTGGTTTGATTATGGATTCGGAATTAACATTTAATCCTCACATAGACCATATATTAAACTTAGGATTTCGTTGGTTAGGATATATATATACTTAGAATATGCAAGCCTTTCCAAGACATCCTTAAAATATTATACTTTTCTTACGTCAGGTCTCTTCTAGATTTTTGCAGCACGGTTTGGAGCCCATGTTCTCAAAAACATATACAATGAATAGAAATAGTGCAAAGTAAATTAATTAAATCTCTTAACTTTCGCAACAATGTTACAGATGAATCATACAGTGAAGCTTTGGTCAGATATAAACTTCTTAGACTTTCGTCGTAAAATGCTTGACATTATCTTTCTTTTCAAACTCTTAAACTCTCAAATTTATTTGTCCATTCTTCTCAGCAAAATTTCCATTTCAGCACGAGTTCGCCTCCCGGTGCGCTCCTCACGTAAACTGCATATATTTGTTCCTTCGCCGTTACGTTAAAAACTATACACGTAATTCTTATACGTGTCGTTCCACCAACAGTTTAAAGAGAAAAGTAAATAGTATATTGATAGAAAAACAAAAAAATGTGTTTATAAAAATCTGATTTTGTAATTAGATGTTTAGTATTTTATGTCAATAAATTGTTGTATTATTAGATGAATACACATGCAAATCTGACTATATACAGACTCTCTTTGCTACTGTAACTGTAATAAGCTTTGGTTTGGTCTATAAACATTTACAAATACGTATGTACCAAAATATTATGTGACTGTTTGTTGCCATATTAAATGAAATAATAATAATATGATCATTTCATGTGTGCAAAATTTATATAGAGTACTGTAGCTGTAATACTTTTGAGTTTGTAATTTTATTTTAAGCATAAAACTGCTTTTATTTTTTATAGAAATGTATATAAAATTTTACTTGATTACATTAAATGTCACCAAAATTAATAGTTTTTGAAAAAAGATACGTTTTTGCCTGCGATTTCCTCTACTTATTAGCACGATGCTATTGGCATTTTTTGCGACTTATCAAAGACGTTTGACTGCGTTAGCCATGAAACATTGTTAAATAAAATGAAGCATTATGGTGTATCAAATATTTCACTAAGTCTGATACAGTCTTATCTTTCTGCTAGGATTCAGAAAGTAGTTATAAATGAAGCTGAGTCTACAGGAGCACCCATTTCTATGGGCGTGCCCCAGGGTTCAATATTGGGCCCATTGCTTTTCCTTATTTAAATCAATGACCTTCCTCACTTTACAAGAGATTTGTGTGAGACAGTACTATTTGCTGATGACACCTCTTTATTGTTTAAAGCTAGAAGAGGAAATGATTGTTATGACGAAGTAAATTGTGCTCTCTCTGAAGTCCTTCACTGGTTTACGGTAAATAATATAAAACTTAACTCCAGTAAAACAAAATGCGTTAAGTTTACTCTACCTAATGTGAGGCAGGCTAATACTAGTATAAAAATAAATGACCAGCCTGTAGAGTTAGTGGATTTTACAAAGTTTCTGGGTATTACTTTAGACTCTCGTCTGCAATGGGATCCTCATATTGATGCCTTGTCAAGTAGATTGAGCTCTGCAGCTTTCGCTGTTAAAAAGACTCTCTCTCAAGAACTCTTAACTGATGTGGAAACGGCAAGATTAGTTTACTTTGGTTACTTTCACAGTGTTATGTCATATGGCCTTTTGTTGTGGGGCTCAGCCGCTAATATCGAAAGTATTTTCATACTGCAAAAGAGAGCTGTTCGCGCCATATACAATTTAAAGGCAAGAGAATCCCTTAGAGAAAATTTTAAAGAAATTAATATTTTAACACTGGCGTCGCAATACATTTATGAAAATTTAATATATGTAAGAAAAAACTATGATGAATTTGCAAAAAAAAGTCAAACCCATAACTTTAACACGAGATTTAAGAACAAGCTTGCCGTTCCATGTTTCAGACTCCAAAAATCAAGAGGTTCATTTCTGGGTTGTAGTATTGCATTGTTTAACAAAGTTCCCCAAGATCTGATTGAGCTTCCACTGACTAAATTTAAATCTCAGATCAAAAATACTCTTATGAATAAGGGCTATTATAAAGTTGATGATTATCTAAATGATCGTAATGCATGGACATAGTGTTTCTTATAATAGATATTAAATGGGTATTACTCATTTTTCATAACAGTAATATTGTACCTATCTAATGCCGCTTCCTATATACTACTTAAAATGTTAACTATAAAATTAATTGTTACTATTTATATTCTAGATGATGTAATGGAAAGTGACTTCAGACGTATTTCTGAAGTAATTTTTCAAATTGACGACACTGTATATAACAATACAGGGAGAAAAAAACAGCCCTTGCTGAGTTTCTTGCCGGTTCTTCTCAGTACAAGGTCTCCCGCCGTAGTTTTGCGAACTGATGGCGTAGCTTCTTGACCTTCACAAGTGCTTGTAACAGCCTAGACTGAATCAATGACATTTCATTTCATTTCATTCATATACTTTACATTTTTGAGAAACGCGCAGGATCCTGTCATTTTCCTGGGATCAAAAGTATAAATTTAAAAAAAAATTCAATACACACCAATTAGCCTAGCCCCAAAGTAGGCTTGTGTTATGGGATAATAGGGTTACAGATAGAATACATTTACAGTACATATTTAAGTATATATTTATATAGAAATACTTAATAAACATCCATGACTGGATTACAAATGCTCGTATTCATCACACAAACATC